AAAACCTGCTCAATGCTTTAAATTCCCACAAAGACAGGTGAGACACGGATTATGCTCTGAAAACTGCCGTTCTGCTTGATTTCCATGTGGCAGCCAATAGGGATATATCACATATTTGCAATAATATCTGCAAAACCATTACTGTAATTGCTTTACATTCTAAGTGACTCTGCAAATAGTATTTTGATAGCTGAAGGTGGGTCTGTCTTTCAAAAGAAATAATTTAAAGTCCATTTCCATTTTCTTTCTGTCAAGGTTTGTGGTTGATGCCACTCATACGCTAGCACTTAAATTACTAAATCAGATGTTTTAGTTGGCAAGTGTGAGACGCCCAGGAACAAATAAAAAGCTGTCAGCGAGCCCTGAAGAACAGCTGCTGAATAACAATCCAATCTGATTTTGCTCTGTCGTAAAGGTTTGTTTCGGGGAAGGAAATAAAGAAGAAGAAGTGTCTCTTCGGTCTTCAAGTTCGGGCTCCTCCCCCTCTGTCATCGGACCTATCACCTTTCATCGCCGAACAGCCAATCAGCATCACCCACAGGAGAAGGTCAGAGACAGGAGCACAGCAAGATCTTTTGATAGCAACATTAAATGCAGTTTGCAAACTAGTTTAATTGTTTAACTGATGCATTTCTGAGTAAAACAGTAAAAAGGGAATTATTGACATTTTAATGGATTGTGAAAAGTGAATGTCACATACAGTACCAAAATGAACACTTGTTGATAAATTGAGAAAAGGGATTTATGACATAAGCCAAAAACAAAAGGTTTAAGATTTTAGCTAAAAGATTATGAAGACTTTTTAAAAGAAATATTATGATTAAAAACTAAATATGGTCGGTATTTATTTCATGTTGACTTAACACATGGTAAAAGTAACTTCAAAGAAATTAAAATTGACTTGAACAAGATTCAGAGTTACATAAAATATCTCAACATTTTGAGATTTGTTTTCCTCATCCGTCTTAAGGAAAATATTTTACATTCAGTTTGTGTAATTGTTTTGCATTTGCTTTTTTGTCGTTTTATTTTTAATTCGATTTCAAATAAATTGAAATGGTTTCATGTTGAAGTCATCTGTTGTCTTCTCTCCAGCCCCATGTCACTGCCCTGCCAGCGGAGAGCGGTGGGTCCGGAGGCCCGTAAATCAAAGCGCCGGGTCACTGAGACACAGGTCAGTGCGTTTGCCTTTAACAGCAGCAATCAAAAGATGGCTGGCAGAGGCCAAGCCCCGTCTGCATCAGTAATGAGACACCCAGCGTTACCTTTTGGGTTTGTTTTACTCCTCATATTCATTTGACTTATTTTTGCAACATGCACTGAGACAACAAGGTCTGTCTACCCTTGCAAGTCAACGAATGCATACGCCCATTTAGTGAAGGGTTTGTTATTCTAAAAAACTTAAAGGGGTAGTTGATTGTTTTTTTTCTAGGCTTGATTGTGTTTATGTGGTGCAGTCTAAC